ACGCATACATTCAGACTGTTGCACAATGGATCTAATAGAAGAGGATATTATTTATTTGGATGAATGTTTAATTAATGCAGACAATGAATCTATTAAGGATCAGGAGAATGCTGCCATTTTTATATGGCTGGTTATGTACAGCACAAGATCGATCCGCGGCGTGTAGTTGATACAACAAAATCTCAGTCAGCTAATTCTGAATTTACAGATTATGTTTCACGTGGTAAATTGCGTTATCCTAGTGATACTCTTCTCCAGTTTATTTGTGTTATTACTGTTTGTTATTTACGGTTTAACAGCGTTCTAAAGTCTAAAAAACGTTTTCAATGTGTTGTTTTATTTAAAGAAATTATTTTTATTCTTGCATTCAAAATTACCATTTGATTTAGAAACAGACAGTATAGGTATTGCAAAAGTTATCTCAATAATAACTGACTGTTTCTTAAAAGGTGTTACGACCCTTGATAATACATCTGATATTGAATATATAGAATAAAAAATTTAAAATTTGGCTCTATTTAATTCAAACTTGCCCACGCCAGCAATATAGTGTGATAAATACTGATTAATTAGTTTTTTAACAGAATCTTTAAAAATGATTATTTACAGCTAATTTACAGTTTCTTTGTAAAAAGTTGTTTTAATTTTTGTTTGAAAATAGTGATAAATAATTGAGTCATAACATTTTTTAATTATATTTCTATTCACAATTATATTTTTGTTTAATGATAGAAGTGTTTCACTTTTTTTTTTTTTTTTTCATCGGCCCATTCGTCAAAACTACATGAAATTAGATTTTTTCGCGTTCCGTTGTTTTAGTAGTTCCTGGTATTTAAAATATCATAGTCACGTGATACAACAAATTTTCAATCCAACAATGACTCAAACAGTTGATCTTGCTTGTTGCACAGAAGGAATAGAAGGTACAATTTGTCTTTATTTTTGCATGATGGATAAATTTCCTCCATTACTTTGATTGCGCGCTCTGCGCAATGATAACTTCTGGATAATTTATCAAAGAGCTTAAAATCTTTTTTGTATAAAATCAGTATTTCAGCCAAGTTAATAAAATTGTTTTTGTTGTAGATTTGGTCTGTAAACCAATGGTCTGCCCAATCATACAATAAAAATCGACTATTTGCAGAACTGTCCTTGTTGAAGGAATTAAAATGAAGGTCAGGATATAGCTCTGGAGTTCTACCTCGTATTGCTGATGCTGGGTAATTTCTTAAACCTGATCAATTGAAAATGTCCTTTTTCCTCAAAAAATTGCAACACTCGATGAAACAAAAATCTCATATCATCTCTCCATCCACATATTTCAAGAATTACTTCTGTTTCGTTACCAAACTGTGTTTTCGTATTCCTTCAACAGTTATACAAATGGATATTCAATGTTTAGCGATTGTGTTTTACTTCCAAGTTCTTCATCTATCGTCAAACGGAGGATTTTATGTAATGGTGTTGACAACTGATAAACTGAGGTTTGTTTCTCAGTGCCTTTCTCAGTGAAAATTTGTTGCAATATTACAACAAAATCATTCTTTTTTTCAGTGTTAAAGCTGGTGGTATCTGTAACAATCATCTGTATTGAATTCCATAGATGAAATTCATCGAGGACTTTAGAAATTCCCAGAGCAATAGGTAAAACCCTGCCATCTACCATACCAAGTACATCCAATTTGATTTCATTTCTTTCATTTTTAAGGGCGACCACTTGATAATATATTCTGTCAATGTGCTTTCCATCAAAGTGTAAGGACCAACTTTCCATATGCAACTTTTCAATCATTTCTTTCTTTAGCTTGATTGCCTCTGATCGTTGACTTGCAAATAGCTGATTAACATGGAGTTGGGCTGTCAATGCCTTCACGAGCCAATTGCTTGCATATGTTAGCAGCTTTGTTTGTTGATACTTTTGTGGATGTCACCAGGTTGACTGCAATTTTGTGTTTATGATGTTTTCTGCTTGGTATAGGAGTTGTCTCATCTTCTTCTTCATTGTTTTAAAACTCACTGTCGTCAGCCTCAGAATCACTATAACCAGGATAGTAAGATGATGAGTTGGATAACTTATTAGAAAGTTTTATTTCTTAAAGGGAAAGATTTTTTCTTTACCAGCCGCTTGGTCTGTAGAACATCTTACTGTTTCTTTGCTTTCCACTTGGAGATGGTATAATTGCTTGTCCTCAAAAGATAAACATGTTCCATTTCTAAGAGTTACTATCACTTTTGTTATAGTAATTCATAGCTTCTCCGCTTGACACAATTATCATAACATTTCAGTATTTTATCAAGCTTTGCTTGTACAACTTGATCAGATACATGAGGAAAATTATGTTAATTCTTCAACAATTTGGTGACTTCTTTGAAAATTTCCTATTTGCTCCTTTCTTCCTTTAATTTTTTGTCCAAGGAAAGGTAGCGTCCGATTGCTTTTGGAGATACATTCCTCACTTTTCTTCCAGTGAATATTCTTCCAAAGAGACTATTCTACCTTATTTATGAGAGTCTTCAAATTTTACCATATTATTGATCCAGAAATCCTTGTTCTTCTGGATCCTACTATTGCTAGGCTTGTACAACGACGTGTTGTTTTTTTAATGCCTATAAAATTAGATGAGCAGCTATATATAGTCTAAAATTTAATTGTTCTAGAATGTTCCAAAATATTTTAAATTGTTTTACAATGTTCTAAATTGTCCCAGAATGTTTTAAATTGTTCTAATATATTCTTAAGTCTTTTAAAATATTCTGTTATTTTCTAAAATGTTCTAAAGTTCTAAACACTTCTAATTTATACAAGTTTTAAATGATTTGCAGGAAAGCTACATTTATTAGCAGTAGTATTAACAAGATTAAGTGAATGACGAAACGTAATTTGAATTGCGGAGTGATCATTTTTTTTACAAATAAGAGGAATTGAACATTTCTTCAATTATTTTTAATAAAGGTTCATCGATTTATGACACTGGAAATTATTTTTTTTAAGTCAAAAAATCATAACTCAAGCGTACAGCACTATTATATTATATATTATATTATAATGAAGGGGTGCGAGGCTAGTCAACAGATAAAATCTGTTTACTCTTTAAGTCTTTTCCTTGGAGGTCTTCTACAAGACAGTAGTCCGATACTTTTATCATTTGCCTAAGATGAGTACTTTTATTGAGACACCATATCTAGCTTTTACTTAAACAAGAACCCCAAGGCGAGGGGTGTTTTATATCCGAGTTGGCTTCTCCTAACCTTTGCCTAAACAAGGGTATCCTAAAAGGCAACAGGACATGAATCAGGTTATACTGGGTTACATGTTACCATTAGCAGGATAATATGACCTGATGTTTAAATTTAATTAAAAAAAGATTTAAATGTAACTTAGATCCACATAATCCCACTAAACGGGGTAATGTAGGACTATAGAATACTACTCATATATGTACTCCTTAGACAACTTTAAAAATAAACCTTTTTGATGTAGTTTACAAAGATGATGTCCGACTGATGATTTTAAGATAGTTTACATCAAAAAAGAAATTTTTTTGCTATAAATATTGTTTGCTCAAAATAAAAAGTGGCTAGAAAAATGGCCTAGATTACCCCACACTACCCTACCTATTGATGTAATTTGGTTTTATTTGAATCACGTAAAAAAAGTTTAAGTTTTATTAATTTTAAACTTAAAATGTTAAATTAAAATACTTTTTGGTAAAATTCCCACAAATTTTAACATAAAACTTGTTGGAATTTAACAAAAAAATTTTAACATAAAATACGTGAAAACATAAAATACGAAAAAATTTTAAAAACAAAAAAATTTGACGATGAAATTTTAAAAATGTATCTCTACCGTTAATTTAACCTAATTTGTAATCAATTTTCAAATTTCTATTAATGAATGTGTTAAACTACTTTGTCCTCAGTAAATAATAGTATAATTTCTTTTATTCTTAATTTCAAAAATAAATCTTTTTACATTTTTTTTAATTTTAATTTGTTTATTCAGAATTAGAAATTTACAACACAAAATTATTAAAAATTCTAATTAAGTAGAGCGACACCAGGCACAACTATGCTGACACCTTAAAGACACGCGCTGTGTCTATTGTTTTTTATTTTTCCATCAATGTGATTCTTGAAGGAATTTAAAGAGACTGCATATGCTGCTTTTGCAGGGTGCGAGTTCCATGCATTTACGACGCGGTTAGTGAAGAAATGCTTCCTCTCTTCGCAATTTTTGACTACTTGTTTTATTAATCTTCGGTTGTGTCCTCGTAGGCAGTAATTTACTATTGATGGCGCGTACACCTGTGGTACGGCAAATTCTATTTTTTTGATGCCTTGAACGATTTTAAATTGCTGAATCAAATCACCTCGATTTCTTCTTTCTTCAAGAGTTGTGAGTCTAAGGATTTGGAGCCTCTCCTCATATGATTTATGTTTGATTTCTGTAACTGTTTTTGTAGCTCTTTGTTGAATGCATTCTAGCATAATTATATCTCGTTGTAGATATAGAGACCAAGCTTGTATAGCACATTCAAGTTGTGGTCTGACATATATGGTGTACAAGACTTTCCACAAGGAAAGTCCTCTGCTTCTAAAAGCTTTTTTAAGCGAGCCTAACACACAATTGGCTCTTGCTGATGCCGCTTTCACTTGATATTTTGCTCTCAAGTCATGAAAAACGATTATTCCCAGATCACTTTCATTATTGGTGCTTTCAAGGGTTTTTTTGTTTCCTAATTGATTGAGTATTGTAGAGTCCATTTGTTGATTAGGCGTCCAACATGCATGACTTTGCATTTTGCCACATTCAACTCCATGAGCCATATTTTGGATCAACGTATTACTTCGTCTATATCATTTTGTAACGTTACTGCGTCTGCCTTGCTTTTTATTAAGCCTACAATCTTGCTGTCGTCAGCTTTCATTTTAACTTGATGTGCTATATTATCAGGTAAATCGTTTATATAGAGTATGAATAATAGAGGTCCAAGCACTCAACCCTGTGGAACATCACTTGTGACTTTCTTCCAATCTGATTTATGATTACCGATTGTTACTCTTTGTTGTCGGTTTGCCTGCCAGTTATCTATCCACTCGAGTAGAGTTCTACATACACAGTATGATTTAAGCTTATGAAGTAGCCGCTTGTGTGATACTTTGTCAAACGCCTTTGCAAAGTCAGTATAGATAAGGTCTATGGCATAACATTCGGAAATTGCATTTGTTAATATGTCTCTTGTTTCTAATAAATTAGTGGCACAACCATGCTGGTCTTTAGTGATTAGGTTATTTACGATGCAATGCTTTATTATGATATCGTGAACAAAACTGCCCATTACTTTTCAAGAGACAGCTGTTAGAGATACCGGTATATAGTTAGCTTTTTTTTGTTTACTCCCTTTTTTAAAAATCGGTGTGATATTTATCTCCATAATTCAGGTATATGACTTTTGGAATATGAGTGTGAGTGGCACAGCAAAAGCAGAGGAACAGTTTTTTAACACCCGGGGGTGTACTCCATCGTGACCTTTGGATTTCGATTCTATTAGGTTTTCGAGCTTTTCTCTGACATATGAATATATTATTGAGAATTCGTTTATTTCGCATTTGACTTCCGTTCTGTTTTTAAATTGCGGCATTTGTTCATCCGTATCGGTGATGAATACTGATTGAAAATATTCGTTTATTATGTGAGCGATTTCTTTCTTTTGAATTTTACCTTCATTATCTTCCAGAGATCTTATTGACTCTTTGTTCATTTGCTTATGTCGTACATATTATTGTAAGTGTTTAGGGTCCGAATTAAATTGATTTGCAATTTTTTTTTCATATGCCTTGGTTGCAGATTTGACACCCTTCATCAAGTTTTTACATGCATCTCGTTGTTCTTTTTTAATTACCTCACGAGAATTATTTCCTGCTTTAAGATATTTGCTCCAGAGTATTCTTTTTTTTTTAACTGCCTCCTTGACTTCTGGTGTGTTCCATGGTTCTTCCTTTTCAATAAATGGTTTTGTAGTTGATGGGATGTACAACTCAACTATACTGAGTAGTTATCGTTCACCGAAAAGTTTTTGAATAGGTCGTACCAGTCGTATGCTAGTATTCGCGTTGAAATAGATTTATAGTCTGCTCTACTCCAGATATATCTTTTATTTTTCGAGTTATTTCCATTTCTATAGTTTATTGTAAATGATCCAATTATAAAACAGTGCGATTGGCCTGCGGGTGTATGACCTAAAGAGTGACTCTTTTCTATTTAAGCATGATTTGAATTAAAGTATGTAATTTATATGCATAATTATAAACATATGTACTAGCCAGTTCAAAGTTTCCACGTTAAATTTTGTTTTAAACTATTATACTAAATTAAAAATAGTCTTATAAAATTTGCTGTACTATCTTGCTTCTTAAAAAATATTTTAAATTAGGTAATGCATACCTTTATTAAATACAAATCTGCCTCTTTTTTTAAAAAAAAGTAGTAGTTTTTGGATGCGTATGTAAAAGTACTTAATCAACTATTTGGGACCACTGAATAAATGCAAATTTTATAAATACAAGCTGGCATTTTTGTGTGAAAGGTTTAAGTCCGAAGTGGCGTAAGTGCGAACTTGCATAAGTGCAAACTGACATAAGTGCGCCAAAATCCTTTGCAAGCTTTGACATAAGCTTTGACATGCGTATAGAATAAGTGCAATCTGTTATAAGGGCAAGTCAGTTGTAAAACTTGCAAATGTACAATCTGGCACAAGTGTAACTTGGTATAAGCGCGCCAAAAGAAATTGAAAACATTAACATAAGTGCGGATTTGCATAAGTGCAAATTGACTTAAGTGCGAAGTAGTTGAAAAAACTGGCATAAGTGCGAATCAGCATAAGTGCGAGCTGGCATAAGTGCGAATTGATATAAGTCGATGCTAATATGATGCCAATTCGCACTTATGTTAATATTTACAATTTTATTCGGCGCACTTATACCAATTCACACTTGTGCCAATTCGCACTTATGCCAGTTCACACTTATGCCAATTTTTATAACTGTTTTCCACTTATGTCTGTTCGCACTTATCCCAACATCCACTACACTAATGCCAGTTAAGCCAATACACTTATACCAATGTTTGCAAAATCTTTTAGCGCACTTATGCCAATTCGCACATATGCGAGTTTGCACTAATGCCAGCTTTTGCAACGCCTCGCAACAATGCCAGTTCGCACTTATGAAATTCGTACAAATTTAGCTAAGTATTTACCGAAGTATTTACATTTCGTATTTTTTTGAGATTCACTTTAGGTTTTAACCTAATAACAATTGATCATAAAGTGTTTTAGTACTGTATTTAAAAATAAGAAGATTGAATTTATTTTAAAAAACGTGATTTTAAAGTAAATAACATAAGACTTGGTCTTAAGTTATTTAAACAACTTATGTTATTTATTTCAAACTCACGTTTTTTTTAAATAAGTTCAATCTTCTTATATATAAGTTCAATCTTCTTACCTCGGATTGTTGCCTATGGGCCCAAACAATTGTTTCAAGAAATTCATTTTATTCCTTTTTTGATGATAAATTATGTTAACTAATTATATATAATAACAGACAATGGCATAGCTAGAAATTTTGGGCCCATAGGCAACAATCCGTGGTGGGTCTCTAGTCCCCACGCACATGACTCGTCATAATGTAATTTATAAAAGTAAAATTATGTTCGTAATTTTTTATTCGTAGTTTTACATTTGTTTCTTGTTAAAAATCAATAAAATATTTGAACCAGTTAACAAATTTAGATTAAAAATAAATGACTTAACACGCTGAAAAGTTTGTGAGCTTGTCGTTCATAAAAATACAATATTACAACTTAAAAGTGACAAGTTTAGAATATTGTTAATTAGAAGTTCTTTTTTCTTGCTTTTGCGTTTGCAAAATCATTAAAAAGATCTGTATAATCTAGTTTTGCGGCCTTTTTGTGTTCAATAGCTAGTATTGTAAGATTGCGTAACTTGCTTCAGCCAATAGAATTTCTTTTGTAATCCTTAATAATATTCAATTTGCTAAATGACCGTTCAACAGTGGCTACTGTAACTGTCAGTGGAAAATATTTTAGCACACTTATACCAATTCACATATATATGCCAATTTGTACTTATGCCAGTTTTTGCAACGCTTCGCACTTATGCCAGTTCGTACATATACTGATTCGCGCTTATTCAGCCTCCCGTAAAGTAGATAAAATTATTTTTTTATAATTTACAAAATCTGTGTACAAATGATCAAACAAAATTATAAACGTTGATCACTTAAATCCACTTTGACATAATTTTTGAAAAAAATTGAAGTAACTTGAAGGCCTCCTGTCTGTTTTGGCCCCTAGGCATTGCCTACTCGTAGGCAATGCCTAGGGGCCAAAGTAGTAGTAGTAGTAGTAGTAGTAGTAGTAGTAGTAGTAGTAGTAGTAGTAGTAGTAGTAGTAGTAGTAGTAGTAGTAGTAGTAGTAGTAGTAGTAGTAGTAGTAGTAGTAGTAGTAGTAGTAGTAGTAGTAGTAGTAGTAGTAGTAGTAGTAGTAGTAGTAGTAGTAGTAGTAGTAGTAGTAGTAGTAGTAGTAGTAGTAGTAGTAGTAGTAGTAGTAGTAGTAGTAGTGTGTTTGACACAAAACCCTTGGCAGCCAGTTAATGAAGAGAAAAGTCCTTCAGTACCTTTTTATACCAAATGTAAAAAAATTTCTTTAAATTTGTAACTTATATAAATTGATAGTAATATGTCATTTAATTTTACTTGCGGGTCGTGCATAGAACGATCCTGTAAATTATATGTAAATTATATAACTATTATAAGTTTTCAAAAAAGTTATAAAAAATAAAAAAAAAAGTTATAAACCCTTTTTGCTGAAACAACTTTGTTTTATATTTAAAAAGGCAACAAGATTGAAAAAAAAATTAAAAAAAATTTTGATAATTTTCAATAAAAGTTTAAAAATAATCAAGTTAAACCAAGAAAATAAAAAAAATAAGTTTAAAAGTTCATAAAAGTTTTATTTATGAGTGCAACACATATTTAAACGTATTTAATAAATATTTTATAATATTTTATGGAAAAACCACCAAACATAACAAAAACTAAATTCTGACTTACGCCTGTTTAAAAGAAAGTATGATACTCGCTCGTATATTAAACAAAAATAAACTATTAACATACGAAAACTATTATGTTTGCTAATTTATTGTGTCACTATGGATATAGTTGGAAACTTACTGCAAACGCAAATCACTGCGTCTATCTTCAAAAATAAAATAAAAAACATTTCGACAAAACAGGTGGCTCATATAGAAAAAACACTTAACTTTTTGACAAAATTTGAATTTTTTAATTTATGATTTAATGTAAATTTTATCATTCTTTAAGAAAATATTTTGCATATTAATATTACCTTTAACTTTTAGTATTATTTTAAACTTTTTTAATAATGCTACTTAAACTTTTTTGTTTTGTTTTTCAGTTTCATTTTGCTAATAATTTCTATTTATCGAAAAACTTTGTTCATTGTTATCATAACTTAAATTTTATACTTTTTTTGCAACTTCAAAACCTGATCTCGAGATTAAGAAAAGTTTTTGACTCAAATTTTGTTCCTTATTCATAAATATTTCACATGTATATGTTACTTATTCATAAATATTTCAAATGTATATGTTATTTATTGATAAAGATTTCACATCTATATGTTCCTTATTCATAAAGATTTCACATGTATATGTTCCTTATTCATAAAGATTTCACATGTATATGTTCCTTATTCATAAAGATTTCACATGTATATGTTCCTTATTCATAAAGATTTCACATGTATATGTTCCTTATTCATAAAGATTTCACATGTATATGTTCCTTATTCATAAAGATTTCACATGTATATGTTCCTTATTCATAAAGATTTCACATGTATATGTTCCTTATTCATAAAGATCTCACATGTATATGTTCCTTATTCATAAAGATTTCACATGTAATAAAATCAAGATGTACTAAAAACTAAGAATAGCTTTACAAATTTTTATAACACATAAGCTGTTTGTTATGTATAAATTTGTGATTTTTTTAAGTACTGTGTTCCTTTTTTGATATTTTAATTATCTTTTAATTTTTTTAGCAGAAATGAATGATAATAATATAAGAAAATTATAAACAAAAAATTATAGAGTTCTAACTAAAATTGATCAGGAAACAGTGCACAGTGATGACAGTGAAACAGTGCACAGTGATGACAGTGAAACAGTGCATAGTGATGACAGTGAAACAGTGCATAGTGATGACAGTGAAACAGTGCACAGTGATGACA